AAAGGTGTTATCCTAAGGGAATTGTCTGATACTTAATGAAAGTTGAATTATCTGAAAAGCCTTTCCCACATCAACAGGCTTCCCAGGAAGACTTTTACGACGGGTAATAAATTCAGACTTGCAGCAGAAGACTCTCCTCCACTCACAACAGATGTGAAGTTTCTGTGTGGGTAGAACATTTTTCCACACGTACACAAGAGAAGTGGTTACTATTGATTCTAACATAATGTTGGGTTATTGATAAAAGCTTTCTCACAATAACTATGTTTTTCAGGATTTTCTATATCAGGTCTTCTCTCATGGTTTCCACTAACAATCTTTCACATTTGTAACTTTTGTCTTGATTTTTTGAAAATGTTCCTTTTATAATCAACCAAGTCTATATTATAAGTCAAATGCTTCCCCAAAGGTACCAGTTATGTGGGTTTTAATTGAGGGAAATTTTCGGTGCTCAGAGGTGATATATTCTCAAACTTATAAATTTGTAGCTTCTTTCTTGCTGAAGAACCCAATTTGTCACAAAAGCATACCTTGCTGTCACTTCTTCTGGACACTAACTTGTCAGATGCCTCTCAAATAGTGGAGACTTCCCACATCACCTCCAAATCCATGGTGCTGTTTTCTTCTCCAGCTCGAGAATCCCATCTGGATGGTGCCTTCAAAACCCAGTGAGATGAGGCTGCTGTGTGCCTCCAGAGTGACGTCACAGTACAGGGCTCCTTCCAGGAGTCAACTGTCTATCCAGGAGTCTTTTGGATAAAAACCATGACCTTGTCCTTAAATGCAACAGATCTCTGCTGAAGCTGGTACTCAATCATCTCCTATTGTTTTTGGAAAAAGATCTTAGATGTATACTATTCAAAAATGTGAACTTCATGAAAGACAAAGGCAGAGGAACTGTTCTAGGTTGGAGATTAAATACTAAGGCAGCAAGTGACCCTAGACTGGAGACCTGTGCCTCAGGCCCTGCAGGACACTCTGTAGCCATCACCTTGAGACCCTGTGAGGGCCAGCAGGCTCTAGACATCCAGCAAAATGGTGGGAATCTAAGGGCTGGGGGTCTCTTAGTGAAGTCAATAAACTCTTTATTTTCTAACCAAGGGCTGGTCACATTCATCCTAGCATCCATGGAAGCAAGATGGATTTCCATAGGTAATTCTTGGCACATCGTTACCAATGAGCATGTTCTTGCTTTAGTCAGAAATAACCCTTATGGGCATCCATGAGGAGCCCAGTAAGGTAACCAGTCACTTGGTTACTCTCCTACAGAATTTTTGATGATTTCTTTCACTGACCCCCCCATTTATTCTGGATCTGTACTTCTGACCTGATGTGAACACTCTTCATTATAATTCCCCTTCATTATACCATAGACTCTTGGTAGGGAGAGATTTTTTTACCTTGTGGTTCTGATAATATTATCAGGAATTAATTGAGTCCCAGGATAATTTCTTTGAGCAGAAGTACAAGTGGTTTATAATATGAAAAATACTCATTGAGATTTCATTTGGTTAACATTTGCTTGTTGAGTATTTACAGAACTTTCTCTGTATAGAGCTAGTTTATAGATACTTGTTTGTGGATTTTATATATATAAAGTTTCTACTCATATATATCTCATTCAGATTTTCTTTCTTTGTTGTTGCTATGATGGTATCTATCTTTCCCATGAAAAAAAACTCTCTGTCAGTCTTCTGATTTTCCTATTCTGAAGAGTCCTGCATTATATGTTCTACCACTATGGCATTGACTTCAATTTTCACAATATAGTCATTTGAAAAGAATTTTTACCTAGTAGCCATTTTTAAAAAGACCATCCTTTTTCCTGTTAACTTATCTTGATATCTTTATAGAAAATCAATGGACTTTAAACAAAGAGATTTATTTCTAAAATGTAAATGCTATTCCATTGAGATAAATCAATGTCAGTCTCTCTGTCTATTTTAATGCCAATAATATATTTGAATACAGTACTTTTGTCTTAAATATTGACATCAGGAAAAGTGAGTCATCCAATTTTGGGTAGTTGCTGTCTTATTCTGAATGACTATTCTAGATCCCTTATATTTCCATGTGAATTTCAGGATAAATTTGCTATTTCAACCTATGGATTACTTCAGTTTTGTTAGGCACAGAACTATTGGTTGACACAGTCTTTGTTCAGCACTTTAAGTAGGTCATAATACAGCATCCTGGCAATAAGTATAAGCACTGGTTTCCCAGTTGAGCAGTATTTTGTAGAATACATTTTAAGCATCTGTACCTCCTAAGCCATTAAAGTAAAGCAGAAAAAAAAAAAATCCACACATACATACACACAGTTTCACAATCACTTCTGGGACAGGTATTAATTGAATTTTGCTAGGTAAGAATGCTGGAGGCAAAAAATATGATGTTTGATGTAAACCAAAATTTGACACGTACTTTAATTATCATAGAACAAAAGACATTTTTAATATTCCAAAAGGAAAACAGGCTTAATCTCAAGATTAGTAGTGTTCTGTCCATATAAATATAAAACTGTTAGAGATTATACTTCAGGGACTCCCTGGTGGCCCAAGGGTTAAGTCTCAGCGCTATCACCTCTACAGCCTGAGTTCGATACCCAACCAGGGAGCTGACCCACAGGGCACAGCAGACCTCTCCTGTCTCCCCGCTGCTCCCCTCAGCAGTGGATTTCAGTGGATCCACCTGTTCTGCTCCCCACTCTGCAAAATCTGGTGAATCCTCTCACTGCCCCACCCACAACCTCTGGCCTGCAACTCAATCCTTCTATGCAAAAATGAATAAATAAAGATTATACTTCAGAAATATTCAAGAAGAGCATGAATATTAGGGAAAATGTTTGCAAAGTATTAGTGAGAAGGTAGATAACTGCAATTCTATGCTTTAGGATGGCTGAGTGCAGTGGTATAAGCTAAGGTCAACCCTCTATCACAAGTCATGCCTAATAGATATTACCAATAAGAAAAAAAGAAAGCATTAGCAAATTTTTATACCTTCCACATTCAAATGTGTCATATCTTCCTATGTAACCTTCCTGAACAATATTATTCATTTCCATGAGTCCAACTAGAACATTAATATTAAGAGCTTCCAAATACTTATTTCTCATTCCAAAGCTATTTCTAAGTTTCATTATTGTATTTACAAATGCTCATTGTCTTTAGTGAGATTCCCACACAAATCTTAAAGTCACCGCACCATGAGCTCTTTAATTATTTGCCTGCACATAAATACTCCCTTTATAATGCCATTAAATGATGTCATCAGTCACTTAGCTTCCCAAATAAGAAAGCCTGATGGTAGCCACATATTCATTGTTGTCATTCTGCCAACCAATACAACATGTACTCCAGCTGAGCACAAATTCTAATTATTTAGCAGATTTATTACTTTTCTTTATAAAGATATTGTTACTATAGTACTATACTATCATCTATTTCTTGAAATAACTTCACAGTAGCTCTCCCCATCAAGAGCATCTCTTATATTTAGTCTATTGACATTTCCACAAAATTTATCTTTGTGAAATATTTGTTCATTTACTGCACATCTTTTTCTTTCATTTGCCTACAGTTAAACTTCAAGTTCCTAAGATAAATATTTAAGGGCCGCCCTGGTGGTGCAGGGGTTAAAGACACAGTGCTATCAAGTTATCACCACTGCACCAAGAGTTTGATTCCCGCCCAGGGAGCTACCCACAGGGTGCAGCAGACCTCTTCTGACTCCCTGCTGCTCCCCTCCGCAGTGTATTTCAATAGATCTGCCTGTTCTGCTCCCCACTCTGTCTCTGGGGAATCCTCCACCCCCACACCTCTGGCCTGCACCCCAGTTCTTGTATGCAAAAATAAATAAATCTTTAAAAAAGAAAGAACATTTATGATTTTCTTCTAAATTGATTCTAGTTCCTATTTTGATACCTTGTCCATCAGCCATCTTATGTTCATGCACCTGTCAGGTAAGGTCTTTGATCCATATCGCCCGATTTAGAATGTGTCCTTTCTCATCATAAACTCCTTGCACCTCAAATCCATGTTTAGTGCCATAATTTCATTCAAAACCATCCTTACATATTTCATAGTCAGGCTATCATAGCTCTTGTTGATCCATTAATTTATAACACCTACAACAATGTACTGCCATTATGACAGGCCCTGTGTTCTGTTTATTTTTTAGTTTAAGCCCTACAAAGGAAAATGGAGTTGTTCATTGTATCTTCCCAGTTTTGACACAATGGCCAACAGGTAAGACACACTCAGTACATAATCTGCTGAAGGAATTATAGAAATGATAACACCACCTTATTATTACCCAACTTACCTTACTTAGCCATTGACATTTACCATTTGCAGTAAATGTGATCAATTCTAGCATATATTATCTCACTGAAATTTCCCACAACAGTACAAACAGGTCATATAGTCATATGCATTTTACATCATTTTACGTGGTAAGAATGAAGGATCAAGTACTTTATCCAAGGACATGCCGCCTTTCTGACAACAAAGTCTCTATCCTTCTCTTAGCCTCAATACCATACTCTTCACTGCCCTCATAAATAATAAATCCCATTATGCTTCCAAAGATCAATTTTCCGCATCACTGACTGGACTTAGAACAAAAAATAATGACCAGAGGTAAAAGGCTTAATAAGCCATTGAATAACTAACTTAAAATTTATAATCTCTGCATTTATTGATTAAAAAAGCAGGTTTTGTCATGCTATTTAGCATTCCCTATATACCTTGGACTTGTTCGCTAAGACATTTTTACTGCAGTTACATATTATTTCTCTGTGGTTTTGAGAATCCAAAGAGGTCATCTAAACTGCAACTGTTCACTGAAATTGGTGTTATTATTATCACATAGGGCATTTTTTTTAAAAAGGGGTTTTTACATCAGACAAATCTGAGTTTGAATTCTGTGACCTAGGACCTTCACTTCTTCATGCTTATTTTCTCATTTGAAAAATGGACACAATGATAGATATTACTTACCTTACAAACTTGTCATGAAGAATAACTCACAGTCATACAGTTACAGCACATGCTGACTGGTACCTAGCAAATAGTTAAAATATATCAGCTTCCATGTTTCAGATTATTGCTACAGTGTTATCAGTATTATTTATATTATTTATTTTTACCCACATAATCTCAAAAATATGGTTAAACTACAACATTTCTTTTATATAGTACGAGTGTGGATCTTCACAATGGGAAGTAGCTACATACATACATTTTTTTAAATTTTATTTTTGTACATGACATGATCAAGCTTGTGTTTCTATAGAATCAATCTGGAAAATTCCAAGTGGATTGATGTGTGAGAGTATAATGGGAGGTAGAATGAAGGCTACTATTTTCCCAGTAAGAACTGAGACTTTACATTTTTATGGTCTACTAGCGTTCTAGTTAAAATCAAAGTTGATTCTCCATTTTGTGTTGAAAAGTAGAATACATTTCAAAATACTAACATGTTTCTTTTCCAAGTACTTCACAGCTTAGTTCTATGAAGATAAGGTTGGGTTAAAGAAATGTTCAACTTTCATTCAATACTGAATATTAAATGGTAATTAATCATTTCAAGAAGGCACCTAAATCTGTTGCTGCATAATTCAAAAAAGAATGAGTCACCAAACTCCAGTCCTCCAAATAACACCCAGACATGTATACAAACACAGGAAAACACACACATTATACTTGCTATGCAGCTTTTTTGAAGGTATAATACTTGACAAGAAAAAATAACACTTAATAATTATCTCTACATATCAAAAACAGTAAAATATAACTCATGTTATTAATTTTCATCCTCACAATATATTATTTGGTATATCCTGTGTTTTTCTCATTTAGCATATGATTAAAAAAATGACACAGAAACATTCCCCTTGACACAATAACTTAGCAATGGACAAGAATTTATGAGCTTTTGATCTTTAGGCTTAGATCTTCAGACTAATTGAGACCTGCAGAGAATATAGACTCTATAGAATTATTCAAGGAAGCTCCTTCAGCAGACTGTGAAAAGAAAAACAACTAAAATCCAAAGAAAATAACAACCTTAGTGGGGATGTGGAGAAAACTGATATGAGAGTTATTATTTAATAACTTATTGTTTAAAATATCCATCACTTCACAGAACACATAGATATAATAGGAGAGCATGACATACACATAAAGGAATAATAGCAGTCAACACAAAATATTCTGATGGCACCCAGATCTTAGACTTACTGGATAAAGATTTGAAATGATATATTTTTAGACAAAAGATAAATATCAAAAACAGTCTTCATAAGGAGAAAGAAGCTTCAAGGATACACTTTCCAATTTCAATACTTATTTCAAGACTACTATAATTAAGACATTGTAGTACTGGCATGGATTTGATAGATGAAGTTTGATAGGACATATTTGAACTGCAGAAAGGGTTAACTGACTTTGAACAAGAATGACAAATCACTTTAATGAGAGATATAATCTATCAGTAAATAGTGCTGGACAGATATTTACATGTAAAATAGTGATATGGATTCCAATCCCGTAGCATTCATAAAAGCTAACTCCAAGTGGATTACAGTCCTATATGCAAGAGCAAAAATTATATAACTTCTAAAAGAAAACATAGGCATGAATCTACATGGCATTGGATAGACCATAGAATGTACAGCAAGATCCCAAGAACATGGCAAGAAAATAAAATATAAGTGGACTTAATCAAAATTAAAATGTCTGTTTGAAAGAAAAATGTTGAGTGAAGATAACCAAAAGAAATAAAGAAAATATTTTCAAATAACACATAATAAGGAACTTGTATCTATACTATCTAAAGACTCATAATTCAACAGCATACAAATAACCCAATTAAAAAATGAGCAAAGAAATTGGTATTTCTTCAAAGAAGATATCTGAGAGCCCTGCAAACTCATAAAATATGCTCAGCCTCATTAGTGATTAGAAAAATGCAGAAAAAATGGTCCTCATAGGAACCCCCCCCAGCCCACTGGGATGGCTGCCATTAAAGACGGTGCATTACCGTTATTTGTGCAAATGTGGGACTTCCACACACTCCTGTATTGCTGGTAGGGATGTAAAATAGTGCAGCTATTTTAGAGAACAGGTTAAAGCTTCCTCAAACAGGAAACATAGAACTAACATACGTAGAACCCAGGCATTTTACTTGTAGAGATATACTTACAAGAAATACTGCCAGAAGTCCACACAAGCCTTATGCAAGTATAAATGTTCACACCAGGATCATTTAGAATAGAAAATGAAAGTACATGCCAGCTCTGCAATAGTAAAAAAGGCAGAAACAAATGAAATAGAATACAGAATACTCTCTAGTCTCTTCATAAAAATGAGAACTACTACAAGCTACAACATGGAAAATCTTGAAAGCATAATGCAAAGGAGAAGAAGCCAGTCACATGTCCCACCTATTTTATGATTTCATTTACATAAAAACCCAAAATAGGCACATATCTCAAGACATAAAGTAGATTTGTTTTGACTTTTGGCACAGTAGGGAGGGAACATTAATAATCTACCACAAGAAATAGGATTTCTGTTTGGGGTGATAACAACATTCTCACATTGTTATGGCTACACAACCTTGAATATACTAACAACTTCTTGACTACACATTCTAAATACAATTGTACGGTATGTGAATTTTATCTCGATAAATCTGTTTTTAAAACTTTTAATAGAAGATGTTTAATATTTCACCTAAAACATTAGTGGTTTGTGGCTTTTTAAGTATCACGATTGCTGAGATTAAATATTTATATCAATGTCTATATAATTAATTTGCCAACATTAGTCAGAGACTGTGTCACAAATGTTTTCTGGTATTGTTGAGAGAAAATCTGACCAAAAAGTTCAAATGCCAGTCTCCCATGACACTGTATATTCATTATACAAAACCACCCAGACAGGTGGGGCATCCACTCACTGAAAAAAATAGAAGTTAGCAAAAGATGTTTCACTGTTACTTAATAATGCACATCTGACTTCTAGGACATTCTTAAAGGTGGAACATTTTTTCAGTTTCATTGTTGACCACACACATATTCTGAACTAAATAACACTGTGCTCTGTCCACATTTACCTAAGGACATTAATTGTATAGGTGACATTTACTTTAGTAAAATTAGGTACCAGGATCTCCCTGGTGGTGCAAGGGATTAAGTCTCAGCACTGTGAAGCTATTACCAACCACTGCAGCCTGAGTGCCATCCCCGGCCAGTGAGCTACCCACGTGGCGCGGCAGACCTCTCCTGTTGCTCCCCTCAGCAGTGGATTTCAGTCGATCTGCCTGCAATACTCCCCCCTCTGTCTCTGGGGAATCCTCTCACCCCCCACACACACCTCTGGCCTGTACCCCAGCTCTTGTATGCATAAATAAATAAATCTTTAAAAAAGTGAAAATGTTTAAAACAAAAAAGAAAAATTATATACCATTATATAAAAGGGAATAAAAATCAAGTCATAAACTGAGAAGCTAGGAAAGCCCTAACTTTCTTGACAATTTAGCAATCTAAACATTGAGCACAGTGTTTAAGATTTTCACAGCTACTTGACATCGCCTGACATCCTGGGGATGCGCTTGTTGAAAGGATGTGGCGGGAACATATGTCAGTAGCTGCTCTTGTCAGTTACAGCAGGGTCCCAGCAGGATGGTGATAGTTAACATTTTTAAATTAACTTATCAGTTGTAGACCCACTGTGTATAAAAAATTCTTTGATAAATATTTTTTTCCTTTTGTTTTTTGTAGAATGCACTGAGTATGCAGCTGCCTGACTACCAATCAATGATGCTTTTTTTTCATGGAGGAAGATTTGCAACTCCATCCTGAGCTATTCTCCCTCCCTCCAAAAATAGAACCAACAAACAGTGTTTAGTAACATAGTAAAACTTATGAATTATTTAAAGCTGTCATATTGTGATTTTTCTTTCATTATGTGGAAGCTAATCATACACGCGTGTAGAGGGACATGCAGCGTGATGGTGGTTATTTTGGAGATAATTTATGCAGAGAATTTTGAACTACAAAAAGAACTCACTGTGTTTATGCAAGATAAGAAATCAGGCTGTTCTTACTGTTTTAATGTTATGAACTAGGCATCCACATTTGCTTCTTTGTCTATGTTTTGCAATTTTAATGATTCTAAAAATTTGGTGAAAGCAAGGGATACCGTCTATTTATTTAATTATTGATAAGATCTAAAGACCAAAAAACCCAGAATTTCTTTAGGCTGCTATTATGTGATCCATAAATTTTAGCATTACCAAAGGTAGCAGATGACCTATGGACGCTTACAAGAAAAACTTACAAATTTGATAAAGCAACTTGAATTTATTTACATTGAATTTAAATTTATGGAAATAATAAACCTAAGTTCTATGTGCATTAAGAGAAAAAATATAGAACATTTATGAATCTAAGAATCATTTCTTTCATTGAAAAGGTACATATGAAGTGTATTTTATACAATAGTTGGAACTGGGTACTTACAAGATTGAATGTAAATTTTGAAAATGTCAATGCCCTCGATTGCTTCAAGGTTAGGTAAGTTCATCAGCAAGGCAAGCTCACTGTTAATGGGAAAATACTTTAACTTTTAATACAGTGTTTATTCAAAATGTGTGTACCCATTTAATATGGAGAATCATTATTTCAGTTATAATTTCTGTTTAATTATAATTGCAGGATGACGAGGTGTTTCAAGTGAATAGCGGTTCGCTGCTTTTGCTGCCTGTATGCACGGGCACTTCAGCCAACAGGCACATGCTGTCCCATTGTGCTGACTGCATGCATTGAAATAGAATTTTCTCTTGTGGAATCTAATCATCAAACATTCTGCTCATGATTTGTGTTTTTTTAACTTACTTTTTCTAGCAATATTTTATGTGTTATCATTAAAATGGAACAGATTGGAAATTCTGGAAAACAACAAAACTTCCAAGGGCTCCTATCCGTGACAAACCTTTCTTGTAAGATAAGCAAGGCTGGGTGCACTTGAAACCCACAGTTCCTCTATGAAACCAGCCTCTGGAACCCACAACCTCTGCTTTCCCTATAGAAATGTCCCCAGACCACTTCCAGGTCCTCTGTGAACCACTCCCTAGGTCTGAGTTCACAAGGGCAAATCACATGCCTGACTTAGGCACCTGTTACCCAGAAAGCGATGAGAGATGTTTCAGGGGTGATTGGTGGAGCCTGAATTTGTGGACGAGGGGCTCTGTGTGGAGGGAGGGTACAATACACAACCATGTTGCTGAGGGTAGTGGGGCAGGATCCTGGCCTGAGGGTGGGGAAGTGTGGTCTTTTCTCATGTAGCTGTGTACTCAATAAGCCTTCGCCTCTCAGGTCTCTTAAAAATGTACTTAAGCAGAATAGAGCTTAGTTATTTAACAGTTTGCTAGATTCATTATAACATTTACATATTTAGAATGGGCCTGTTTTCCTACTCTTGCTCTAATCCCACAATCTGACAGTTAGCAATTATGTTCAATGCTCGGTCATTCATTCAGAAATATTCAATTTCTACCATGGTATTGCTTTAGGTGTTGGGAATGCAGCAGTGAAGCAAGACAAAGGCTGTACATATCATAAAACGTCACTTTCTGAGGGAATGGTGGACTACAGTGAACAGAGTTGAATATACTCATTAAGTGCCACAGCAGAGCCATTCCTGGAGAGATGCTTGACACAATCTCTTCTGTATGCACGTGAGAATATGTAACAATATGGTCAATAGAAAAACAACCAGAGATAACACAAAACTCTTTTACAATATGTTAGGCAATAACAAAGGCTATCAAGCCAAGTTAAACTGATTTCCATCGGCTGATTCCAGCACAGCATTTGCAGAGGACTCTGATCGCGGGGCCCATGGCCGTAAGATTCTCCTGGAGTGCGATAGCCCTCGTGTTACATTTCTGTTCTGGTGATGGTAAGACCATGTTCATGGATGTAGAAGTGTATGGAAGAAGTGAAGTTGAGGTCAATGGAAAACAAACCTAGGAAGCCAGGGGAATGAGCTGGGACATTCAGAAGTTACCGTGAATGAGGACAGATTTAAGTCCCAGCTACTTTCACTGGTATCTCTCCACTTCTTCGCTTCCCCTTCTTTATTCTATTCTCTTCTTGCTGGCTTTCTCGTTTCATGTCTCCTTCCTCTTGTTCTCATTCTGTTTTAGAAGGTGAAGAGTTGATAGTTTGGAAGAAAGGTGTAGCTTTAAGAATAAAGTGAAACTACCTTGAAAGGTAAATAAATCACTTAGTAAAACACTAGAGGGATCCAGACCACCTGTTTTGAACAGCAGTTACAACAAAGCATCAGGAAAGATTAGGTGGGCAAAAAGCAATGCAAGTGTCCATGGAGACGATAGCACAGATTTAGTCTCTAATGATTTTCAAAAAGGTAGGTAGGCACTTTTACAAAAGAGACTTCAAATAGATTGCCTTATATCATTTTCAGCTTGTTTTGTAAACTCTTCTAATACAAGATGAAACTTATTTTGATTTCTCATAACCTCCAGAGTTTTGCTGCGGTATCTAGCAGTCAGTGTTTGATAATACTAATTACAGGAATATGTGACTCTGGAATGTTTCAGCAAATATATCGATATTTAAAAGATCATTCTTTGTATAGTTACAGTGCATTAAGTGTACAAAAGGCAGTAATAAGCTATAGTTTATACTGTAAAATTTATTAACTCAAACTATACTGATTCCAAAGAAAAACAACATTAAATAACTTCTTGAGATTTTTCCAGGGATATAAGTCAAAAAACAGACCACCACTATCAGATATTTTTAAAAACCTGCAATATAATGGGTCATTCATTCATTCACTTAATTATTTTTCAACAAATATTAACGAAGCATCTACTCTGTATATGGAAATAGAGTTCCAAACACATTTAAAAGTGTATACCAAACCCATAACAGAGGAGACACAAAATCAAATCATTGAACTCCTTATTCTGTAACTCTGTGAAATGTATTTACTAAAGAGATTAATTTTTACGTATTTCTTATTTTTGTAACACACTTCCACAAAATGGCTACCACCAATGGTTTCCACAATGTAACCATTTGTGCTTCTGATATATAACAATGATTTTATAACACTGTCTTTTAATAAGATTTTATCCACAGGTGCCTACTAGGGAGCTCATTTTTACATTATAAACAAGTTTTTATCCTCAGCTCTGGTCCCCATTAAAAGGCTACCCAGGGCCTGATTCACTTCTCTTCATTCCAAAGTATTAATCTGCATTACTTTCTCATGGGAGTTGTTCACATAAAAT